CTGGCCCTTGGGGCGGTCCTCGGTGGAACTCAGGGACAGGTCACGATACAGTTGGTCCTCTAGTGAAGTCACGGTGATGTCTAGGTCATAAGGACTAATGGTGTACAACTACACCATAGATATCCCTACTCGATTATTGAAAACCACTTAGAGATTTCTAGGGTGAGGGAGTTCAGTGAACTCGTCAACTTACAAGCACCCACTTATGCATGCCGATATCACAATACCGTTTGTTGATGAGATGCAATACACATACACTAAGTGCTAGTCTCTTAATGGGAAATGCCGATATCCTCATTAGTGGCGTAACCCTTCGACTAGGAACACATTTAACTGTTATAATACTAAAGTAAATATCTCACAATCCTTACGATCAATTACTCGTACTTGTAATAACTGTAAGGACTATATCTATGCTTGTGATAAAGGGACAAAGATATAGAATGCCAAGGTGTTTTATCATTAATACGAAAAAATGTTTGTTTATTACAATTATAAATATGAAAAGCCACAGTCATAAGTTGGCTTGTTGGTCACCTACTCTAACATGGAGCTCATTTCAAGTTAAGCTTTAAAGATAAACCTCAAAGTGATGATGAAGATGTAAAGTTTATTCAAGAAACTCTTTATGTCAGTGCTATTGTAAGCATCATGTACTCAATGGTGTGCACAAGGTCATATTTGGTTTATGACTTAAGTGTTGTCAGCAGGTTTATGGCAAATCATGTTGAATCCTACTAGCAAACACTAAAGCGGATAATGAGATATAGTATAGGCTCTACTGATCTTGGATTAGTTACATAAAATGTGTTGAAAATGCTAGTAGATTGGAAGGATATGTTCACTTAGATTATGTTGGATACATGTATATCGTTAAGTGGATAAAATATTACATTTTTACACTAAATGAAAGGCCAATAAGATGGAAGGTTTCTTTGCAAAATGTAGTAGCCCTACCAACTACGTACAAAAGCTGAATACATGGCAGCTACAGAAGATTTGAAAGACGGCCTTTGGTTAAGAGGGTTAGTGTCAGAATTATATAAGAGATTGATGTGAGAGTACACTGTGATAATCAAAGTGCACCGCATCTCATGAAAAATCCCACTTTCGACGAGATGTCAAAACATATTGACATTAACTTGTATTTCATCAGAGATGTTGTTGCAATGTTGTTGGAAGAGAAAATATTAAATCTCAGACGGCCGTCTGAGAAACAGAGTCAATCTCTGCTTTTGAGACGGCCGTCCAAGTTTTAGTAAAATCTCAGACGGACGTCCGAGATTACGAAAATGCGCAGTAAAGGGATTTTAATTACACAAGGAAACTGCATTATTCTCCAATTTTTCCACCCTATATAAGACCAAGCCAAGCACACAATTGGGGATCGATCTTTTTACGCAAATTCAAGAGCAAAGAAGATCGACGAAGATTCAAGCATAGTTTTTCTTATTTAATTTATTTATTTTATTTTCTTTATCACAATAACTACGAGTAGCTAAGTCTTTATTTCTAGGATTTTATTTTGAACCATATGTGGGATTTATGAACCCAATTCTATGATTTTATGCAAGTTTTAATTCCAGATTATTTCTTCTACTTGTTTTATTAAGTTCATGAAACTTGCCACTTTATGTGCTTTTATGTTATTGTTAATCGCATGAATTGGAAGATCGGGTTAATAATTAGAATTGTGGTGAGCCTTTGTGGTATTAACATAGGAATATAGTTAATCTCTTAGGTAGCCATTATTGAGATTTGCGCTTAATGCTCTGTTCTAGAATTAATTGCGTATGAATACAATAATTGAATCTAGAGTATTAGAATCGTAATACGCGCGGAAGCGGGTTATGACTAATTTATCATCTCAGGTTAATAATCCGGGTTAATTACTTGCATAATTGAAGGAATTGGGGGAGTAATAATCACATAGGGAGAAGAATAAAATTCTAGGCTTGCTTTCTCTGATTTAATCTTCGTTTTAAATTGATTTCTTGTTTCGCTTGCTTTTTAGTTTATTAATCCTTTTTCGACTGTGTAGGGTTGGCTTGATAACAATTGCTAGAATTTAGTGTCTAGAATTAAATAATTTAATATTCTATGTGGGATCGATATCCGGCCTTAATTGTCCATTTTATTACTTGTACGTTACGTGCACTTGCTGAGTTTTGCGAGCATTAACGTTTATACGCTGATATGTTCGATGGAGATGAAGAGGGTCGGAATAGAATCGATGATCATATTTTGACATGCAGTCATGTAAGCGGATCGGCTTCACAGACCAAATGAATGTCGACAGATATGGGATTGACAATTGCTACGAAATACAACGCTCTGGTGCTAATATTCACAGGTTGGGTAATTTTACATATCTGCTCTCGTAATGAATCCCGCGTTATCAAATATTATCCCTATTTCATTACATAACAATCATTTCGTAATCCTTCGAGTACATGTTTACTATTCTATACATCACCACCATCCTCGGTGGATGTATTTTACAACTCCCAATTTACTGCCCTAACACGAGTCTTACATAGATAGGCTAGGTTTGTGAACAACATTAACAAATTAAATAGACATAAGTAGATTTGGTGTTTGCATCTTTGTAATCGTATTTGTTACTGTATTTATGTCTTGAACTTTGTTATTGTATTTGGTTTTTGAACTTTGCTATTGTGTTTGGATTTTTTAACTTTGTTATTGTATTTGACTTTTTTTCCGTTAATTATTCGATAAATAAACACAAGTCAGATCTTTTTCTTAGAGTTCGTGTGGAACCACACGAACATAAACATTTTGCTCGCGTGAAACCACACGAGCACAATTTCTCTGTTTGCCGGAACCTCACGAGCACGGAATATGAACATAACCGACTTGAAGATCATCGGCAATAGGTAGAGAAGGCACTGCTCCAACTGCTATAGCTTATTCTCTCGCTCTGATTGTTTCTTCTATGGCTCTCGCTTCTTCTTTTGCCATCACTTTCCTTCTTCTTTTGAATGTAAGAACTCCCCAATTTTTTATGCGATTCGGGTCATCCGGAACGTTGGACTTCCCACCCAAAGTCTTCATTAAATTCTTGCCTTTTTTCGGCAACATGACTCATTTAAATGTTTTCCTCTACCCCTTACTATCTATAATTTAACCAATCAAAAAAAATAGTGTTGCAAGAAACAAATGTGTAGGCGAACAAATGTGTACCGAGCTCACGTGGTCATGCGAACTCTGTTCACCTCTTCGCCTACTTTTACACGAACAACCCTAAATCTGCAAAATCCTAAAAGAAAAATTAAAAGTTAAAAGCGCATTTGCTCGTGTGATTCTAGGCGAACTCGTTCTATCGAGTTTGGTGATTTTACGCGAACTCAGTATACAGAGTTGTCCTGGAATCACCCGAACACGTGAATTTCATTTTTTTATAGCAAAAATTTGATAAATTAAGTTTTAAATAAAAAAAACATACAAACTCAAGCGCTCGCGTGGTTTTACACGAACTCAGGGCTGAGTTCATGTAGAAACACGCGAGCTCTACATTTGCCTATTTTTAATTATTTTTTCCATATTCATAATTCATGTAAACGAAACAATCATAAAAACGTAAAAATTACCTCCGACATGTTGTCGTCTCGGTCGAAATATGAGAATGTTCCAAGAACTTGAGAGTTTGGGTAAACTTAGGTATTTGGTTTGGTAAAAATGGTAAAACAAAAAATGTCTGCAAATTTTTAAAAGTGTCTGCACAAACATTTCAGTATCTCAAAGGATGATTAGTGCGTTTTTCACTAGTTTAATAAGACCTTAGGGTATCTCAAATAAGCCATAAAATAAAACATGTCTAGAAGACAGGAAGAACATCGTACAAATGGGTTGTTTGGTTTTAGTTATTAGGTCTTGGCCGTAAATGTATCATAAAATTATATATTAGCTTGCATTTTTGCCCCCGTGCGATGTACAAGATATCATTTTAAAAGTGAAAATAATGATTAGTTTAATACATGACAATAACACTTATAATAAAATTTATTAGTGATATCGGTAACAACATTAATGTTTATACAAATTTAATAATACAAACTCATTTCGAAAAAAAAAAATATATAAACTTAATTGTCATAATATGAAATTGATCATTAAATAAAATAAAACAAAGAAGAATTAGAGAAAATGGACTGGATAATAGGAGATAATAATAATAATAATAATTATGATAAAAATATAGTGTTGTAGATCAGGACTGTGCTAGTCGAAATTTGATGTGAAATACTTAGAAAAAGAAATGACTGCAAAAAAAAAACACATATATATATATATATATCTATATATATATATATATATATATATATATATATATATATATATATATATATATATATATATATATATATATATATATATATATATATATATATATATATATATATATATATATATATATATATATATATATATATATATATATATATATATATATATATATATATATATATATATATATATATATATATATATATATATATATATATATATATATATATATATATATATATATATATATATATATATATTATTTTCGTATAAATATACCATTAGAATTTCTTAAGTTGCCATAACGTTTTTTTTTCTTTTATATATTAGATTCATTTGCCATGGCCATGTCTACTTCTCAAGGGTGCAAAAGTGGTATTAATACTTTTGGGGTGCAAAGTGCTAATAAATTATATCGAAAGGGTACGAAGTGGAATTAAGCCTTTTATCTTTTTGATAATTTCGATGAAAGTGACACCAAACATGTAGAAGTGAGAGGGGCAAGCACAGTGTCAACCTGAACTCAAAGCAACTTACGTTGAAATTGTAGAGCACCGCAGGAATAGTCTTTGTAGGAAGCAACCTGGAGTGGGAAGACGGACCCGAAAAGCAGTAGAGACTGAGCGCAGTGAAGTAAACTGTCCAGTGTGAATTCATTTCATCTCACCCTAAATTCTCATCTTTATTTATTTATTAATTAATTAATTAATTATTTTATTGTTCAGCCAAAAAGATACTCTCACAATCTTATTTCACTGCCATGTTTTTCCTCTTCTTCTCTTTCCACTCTCTATAGGGTTTCTGTACCAAAAAAACCAAAATCCAAATTAAAAACCCTTCATCTTCCTTTTATGCATGCAACTGAATTCAATTTCTCAGCGCAGATCCGTGAGTAGAATTCCCTCTCTTGCGTTCTCCGCTGCTGTTTTCGCAGTAAATCCGAAGAGCTCGAGGAAGGAGACGAAGGAGCGGCAATGAAGCCCGAATTGGAGCTCGAAATCGACTCTTCGGGCCAGTTGAAGGAGTCCGGGCCGGAATCCGGATCCGGTGATCCGGCGCGCCGTGATTCGAGCATTTCGGAATCGACGGATCACTGCTATGTGCCTAGGGTTAGACCGAGCGAGGCGAACGGTTTTGCGGTTTATACGAGGAGTAAGCGGTTGAAGAGTAGAAGCTTGAGTGCAATTGAGTATTTCGCTAAACTCCAGGGTGATGCGGGAGTTTCAGTCAAGGCTGGTGAGGCTGAGAGTTCGAATGGTGGAGTTGTAGTTAGTGGCGGTGGTGGTAGTAAGGTAAATATGAGTGGAGGCGGAGGTCAATTAGGGACTTTAGGTGTTAGCGGAGGGGAGAGCGAGGGAGAGATGATGGAAATTGAAGTGAAGGAGGAGCCGACGGCTCGGAGGTTTACACGTTCTGTGCTTAAGTCGAAGGACGAAGATTTTGGACTGGAGAATGGGAATTTGGGGAATTTAAGGGAAACGGTGGTTTTGGAGGCAGATGCATTGTCAAGTGAAGAATTGACTGTGTTGGGCAGTCCGGATACAAGGAAGATGGAGATGAAGATGTCCAAAAAAATACTCATTAAAGGGCGGCCGACAACTGTCAGGGAGCTTTTCGAGACAGGGTTGCTGGAAGGATATCCCGTTTTCTACAATGGGGGAAAGAGGGTATGCTTACAATTCTAATTTATTTATTTTTGCATTATTTTGTTGTGGTTATTATTGGTTTTATTTACCTGTTCTTATGCTTGTTATTACTATACTACCATGATTGATATTGTTAGATCGATATTACTGGTATCGTTAATCGTTATTGAACTTTAATTTGTTTTCTGCATGCCGAAGTTTTTTCCGTATATATATCTTATACCTGCATCATTGTAGGAAGAAAAATGGGCAGTTAGTGCAATTTTTGGTACCATTCATATTTAAAAAAGTAATTTATTAGTGTTTCATCTCTGTAACGGGGAGATGAGAGGTGCAGGGAGAGGATGTCAGGGAAGGCTCTATAGACTCTTTTTCCTTTCATCCTCTTCCTGAAATAAGGAAAGAATCTCATCCCACTTTCCAAATAAGTAGAGTAGTGCTCAGTGAGCTACTCACAAGAATACTCATGTTTTTCTCGCTCAAAATCTAAGAAAACATAAAACAGTAGCTATTGTAGATTAATATATTTGCCTGGAAATTTTTTTCATGCTCTGGCTGTAATTTCAGATTTATCAGGAATTGAATAGTGCACCTGCCATTAAGCTAATTCAATGGCTATGGAATGGAATGCAGTGATTTATAACATATTGAGCATATAACTAGCATTTTTGTTTGGAATCCGAACAGTGATGCTTGATGCCTAGTCCCACAAGTTTTTCATCCGTTGAGAAAGGGGAAATGAACATATCACGTAAATAGATTTCATAGAAGCAGGGGTCTCATTGAAATTCTTGTATAGAGTCCAGATTAAGATATCTTTCTCCTAATTTTTATAGTAAATACTCTTATCTTAATATTACTGATTATAAACTATTTTAATCGCATATTTGTCTTCTTGTATATGACTTTTTATTTATGATTTCTTTTCATGGCTCTCAACTGATAATTACATCATCTAGGGATTCCCACTACGTGGAACCATAACAGATGCTGGAATCCTCTGTTCTTGCATTTTGTGCAAGGGAGCTCAGGTCAGTACTCATCCTGGGTTTTCTTTTTTCTTGTTTATTTAACAAATCTAAATGTTCTCGTTTTGTTGTCTTCTATATCATGCACCTAGCACTTGACTCCATGACTGGTGATAATTTAATTCTATAGGTAGTTCCACCGTGTCAATTTGAGATTCACGCCTGCAAATCATATAGACGCGCATCACAATATATATGCTTAGAGAATGGAAAGAGCCTTTTGGACGTGGTCAAAGAATGCCGGAAATCTTCAGTAAAATCATTAGAAGAAACAATACAGAACTTTATTGGCCCTATGCCTGTGAAGGAATCTGTCATATGTCGGAATTGCGAGGGTGAGCAATTCGTGTATAATCCTATTTAATCATTTTTTTTGAATATTATGTGATATACATGTGTATATTTATCTTGTTTATTATCTACAATCCTCTTCTATGTTGTTTTAATCATATCTAAAAAGACAGTTGGGTGTTTTTTGGTTTATAGGATCATTTCTTGCAACATCGGCTGCAAAGGTGGAACTACTTTGTGATTCTTGCATGGTTGTCCTGAATTCAGATGTTGACGCAGAATGTTTGAAATCAAGGTATTATTTCTGTACAAGTATCAACTGTTATTGGTTAGGAACTACTTTGTGATTCTTGCATGATTGTCCTACACTCCGATTTTGATGCAGAATAAGATATTATTTCTGTACAAGTATCAACTCTTATTGGTTGGGTGGGATGAGATCTACTCTTTAACTCTTAACTTTTTTCGATAAACTGTTGCACGTCTAGGCAACTTCTTATACATTTGACACAAAATGGAATGTGTTTTTGAGAGCACAAATCTAGTTGAGGTTTTCTTTTGTCTTTTCTCCTCTACATTTTATGCATCTTTAAGTCGATGCTTGCTGTGTCGTAAGTTAAACAATCACCAGATACCTGAGAATCAGAGATATAGCCAGGTGGTAATGAAGTGAGATGAAGTACCTACCAAAACCTTCATTTAGTTTTGACAGAATTTGGAGGCCTGCAAATGCAAATGTTTAATTATACCACTAGTTTAGAGTGTAGAATCTGCAATGTGTCTCTATATTACTCATATTTCCTTTAGCTTTTAGATGTCATCACCCGAGTTAAACAAAAACTATATGTTTATAATATACTAACTGAGTTTTTGTAAATAGCTTCCTGATGTTAATGTTGAATAGTTTTCAGCGTAGTATTCTTGAGTTCTTTTTAAATAAAAAAAAGGTGAGGGGTATGGACTTGTACTAGTCCTCTTTATTTTACTGATAGCTTTCATTTTTTCGGCTCTTTCAGGCCTCTGAAGCCACTATTAGGCTTGGGAATTTCGGAAAATGGTGAAGTGCATAACACTCCCCAAAAAAGAGGTCGTCAAGGCAGGAGAAAGAGAAAGTCTGTATCTTATTTGCCTTTCTCATGCTCCTAGATTATTTTTCTTGTGACTGCTTGAGAGAGAATAAATTAAGCGTGTCAATTTGTTTCCAATTTCCAGGCACTCAGAATCAACGACTTATAAAAAATCTCCTGGAAATGCCTCCTTGAAGGTTGCAACAAGAATGAAGAGCCAAAGAAAGATAACTAAGAAGTGATATTTCATTTTCTCCTTTACTTTGTATCAGCAGATTAGATTACCATTATTTTCATTAAACTAAGTAGCTATGTTTACCTTGTAAAAACTTCCTTTTTTCCTGACGTGTTTATGTTTGGCATCCTAAGGTTGTCAGAGCCAGCTTCGGTCATCAAGTCGCCTGGAAGTACTTTGCTAAGTTATTCTAAGTCATCTTCTGATCTAACATCAAATGGTGGGACTTCCTTGTATGGCTCACTGAAGGACATGACTACAAGAAAGATTTTAAAGAAGTTGGTGTTTATGCTTATTCCTCTTAAATTTTGAGCCTGGAATTCAAGCATTAATTTCTATCTAATTATTCATTTGTGGTGTTTCAGGTTGTCAAATACTATATCACTCTCCAAGTCCTTTAAACAAGGATCTCCATCTGTCTCGGTTCAATCAAATAGTTCATCGAAGATAACTAAAAAGTTTGTTAAAATTCAGTTTGATTACTTGTTCTGTGCATTGTTTTAGTTATTCACCCTGGAATATGAGAAAATCTAAATGGTCTTTTTCTGTCGTTTCTACTCAGAGATCAGAGGATGCATAAACTGGTCTTTGAGAATGGTGGATTACCAGATGGCACTGAAGTTGCTTATTATTCTAATGGCAAGGTAGTTCATAAAAGAGACTCAATCCGATATTTCTCTTTTTTCCTATTTCAGCAATGTAATCATCTGATTATCTGTTTCTAGAAATTGCGCGATGGCCATAAAATGGGCTCGGGAATAATTTGCCGTTGCTGTAGCACTTTGGTAATAATGTTGATTTTGCATCCAAAATACCTGATCTTTTAGAAGATGTATTGATTAATTTTTCCTACCGTGAGCAGGTTAGTCCATCTCAGTTTGAAGCTCATGCTGGTTGGGCATCCCGCCGGAAACCGTCAGTCTATTTTGTTTTTCTTTTAACATTATGTAATTGAACACCTGTTCCATTTGCAGTTAAGTTCTGATTATATCCTTTTTCTTTCTGCAGTTATATGTATATCTACACATCTAATGGAGTATCTCTTCATGAATTTGCCATCTCTCTGTCAAAAGGGCGCAAGTATTCTTCAAAAGACAACGATGACTTGTGCATCATTTGTGCAGATGGTGGCAAACTTGTGCTTTGCGATGGTTGTCCAAGGGCCTTTCACAAAGGTCGGTATTTTTTATTATTTTTCCTTGTGCTGGTAGGATTGCTGTACTTTGTGAACCAATTATCCCCTGTCAGTTGTGCTTTAAATTTTTGAGGGAGCTTGACCTGTTTGATTTGTCAAATCTTTCCTGTCTTTGTTAAAGTAAATGTGCAGAAAAAGCATCTTTTATATCCACCACAGTTCTCGAATTTAATTTCATATGAGGATAATATCTGCTATATACTTGAATTCATCTAGGTGGATAACTTCTTATAGAGGAGGTGTCTGCTGGGCTGTTTGGTTTGGACTACAGCAGACTAGTCTCTGAGCTATTCCTTTCGAATTTGAAAAAAAGATAAATTTATACGTTTTGAATATTTTATTTTGTGTAACAAAAGAATCTATTGAACTTAGTGCTTTTCTTTGGTATGATTTCAAAGACCTTTCTTCCTAAACTTTTGAGATACTGTGTGGGACCATGGCTCATATGATTAGATTAGTAGCTTTGTTTGATATAATATATGTCATCTATATTGCTTGAGTTTTTAATTTTGGTACACGTATATTTTTCACAATCATGTAATTGTGTATGTTGAGGAGTGATTGTTTTACAATGCTTCACATATTAGAGGTTAACAATTTGTCATTCTCCATAAGAAATGATGTTTGTTTGTATCTTTATCTTAATGGCAGAATGTGCATCTCTGTCGAGCATCCCTCGTGGTAAATGGTATTGCACATATTGCCAAAACATGTTCCAGAGGGAAAAATTCGTTGAGTCGAATGCTAACGCTGTTGCAGCCGGCAGAGTGTCTGGTATTGATCCAGTAGAGCACATAACAAATCGTTGCATTCGCCATGTAAAGAATCCGGAAGATGCGGAAGTAATAGCATGTGTGCTATGCAGGTAATACATATATACAAGTGAACCTTATTGGTGCCTCATCTGATTTTACGTGTACAAAGATTTAGATACTAACATGTAGCTAATGTTGTTTGTTAATATATAGATTTCGTTTCTTCTTTTTTATTTGCAGAGGCTATGATTTTAGTAAATCTGGATTTGGTCCACGCACTGTTATATTGTGTGATCAGGTACTCCTCATGTGTTCTGTAATATATCATAGTTTGCTGTACATTATGCTCAATGGGATTCATATTTTTCAGTGTGAAAAGGAATATCATGTGGGCTGTTTAAAAAAAAGCAAGTTGGCTGATTTAAAGGTGAGCACATTGAATAGAAGGATTTATTATCTCCGACTTAGCATTTTATACACATTCGTCCACCTTGTAATTCTATGCATCTATGCACAGGAACTTCCGAAGGGAAAATGGTTCTGCTCTGCGGACTGCAAGTGGATTTATTCTACTCTGCAGAATCTGCTGAATGCTGGTGCAGAAGAGCTCCCTGATTCTACTGTGGACATTTTAAAGAAGAAGGAAATAGAGAAGAATTCAGCTTATACTAATTTTGACGTCCGGTGGAGACTTTTGAATGGGAAAAATACATCTCGGGAAACCAGAGTATTGCTTTCACAGGCTGTTGCTATATTTCATGTAAGAGTTGTTGCAATGTAGTTTGTTGTTCATTGTTTTCTGATAAGTCCTGTTGCCCCAATATGTAGATCGACTCTGATCCATATCACAACCCTGCAAATAATTTAAGCAGAGTGTTATATGTAGCCCATTGCTTTTAGCATAAATTATTTACTGACATAACTATGAAATAGATTGCTATTTTTAATCTGGGCATGAAATAAAACTCTAAGCTAATAAAATTGTGGCTTATGAAAATTAACTCTCTTTGTTTGAATATATTTAGGAATTCATGTTAGATTAGGAATTTATATTTAGATTAGACTCTCTTTCTATTAGGTAGTTCTCGTCTGTTTTGGAGATTTCTGTCTGTTTTAGCGAAGAAGTCTTTCCTAGCCTTTTCTACTTGTCTATTCTAACATGGTATTGAGAGCCGGTTCAATTTTTCTTCCTTGATAGCTCTATTTTCGAAATACCAAATTTAATCTGCCACCTTGAGTTGCAGCTGCCACCACCTTTCTTTTACGGCGACCCCAGCATCCTATTCCTAATCTTAACCTCCTAGATCTGAGTTTACTGCCGACTCCTGCCCCCTGTTTTCTTTTTGCCGCTATTCTGTCTGATTGAATCCTAGATTTTTTTACTTTTCTATTCTAACACAATTACAAACGGTATTGAAACTAATTATGGTCATCCATGTTTGAAAGAAATACAGTCTTCTCTAATTTTTTATTTCACAATTTTTAGCTGATTTAAATTGGTATTATCGCTTCTTATGACTGTTCCTATGTTCTAGTTTTATGTTTGGAAATTTGCAGGATTTCTACTGATGCAAATTTATTTCATCTGTTAAGTTTTGATCTTTGAAGTTGTTTATTAACTTGTGTTCCAGGATTGTTTTGATCCAATTGTTGATTCAGAAACTGGACGTGACTTCATTCTCTCTTTGGTCTATGGGTATGCAGCACTGCTTTTTTGCCTTTATAGTGGCTTTGTTTTTTGCCTAGGGTATTCTATCATGTCTCATATAATATTTTTCTTGCTTTCCTTCCCCTCTATCTGTCTTGCTCTATCACATCAGGAGGAATATAAGGGGCCAAGACTTTAGTGGAATGTATTGTGCTATTTTGACGGTCAAGTAAGAACCATATCTCCCTCGTACTTTACTGGACACTGATAATATATTCTTCTTGCTCAAGCTCATATGTCAATCTTGCAGCTCAACAGTTGTATCAGCCGGTATCCTTCGGATTTTTGGACAAGAAATTGCTGAACTTCCATTGGCTGCAACACGAATTGGTAATCAAGGCAAAGTAAGTCATTTCATACGCCCTGGATACTGTTTGTTATGTTTCCTAGTATCTTTTCATTCTTCAACACATTTAGTTCGTTGGAAGTAAATGAAAGAATTCGTGCAATTGCTGCAAGACCAACTGTGCTGTGCACAGCTACCTCTTAAAATTGGAGAAGATATGAAGAATAACAATGAAATTTTAAGTTTTGACCATGCAACTTTTCGTAAGATGCTCGAAGTGATTTCTGTTAATTAATTGTTCTTTTCTGGTTGATTTGGAAGAAAAATTTCGACAGTTTTATGTGTGGAATTGCTTGCATGTTTTTCTAGAACAGTTTTATGCGCAATATTTACAACTTTCCCCTCAAATTTTTGAGGTTGAATTTTAATTTTTGTAAGGAAGTCATGAACTGTCTTATTGCCAACAATTTTTATATAATAATAATAGGAGAAGTCATAAAAATGTAAATCTAAGTTGTTGATTTCAACGGCTGTGGACAAAGTTTGATTATTGTCCATGTATCCATGTTTTCCTTTTTTTTTTTTTCATTTATCTTACCCTGTGTTTCAAGCTTTGGTCTAGGGGTGTAAATGTGTCGACTTCTTAAATATTCTTAAGCATATTTACCTCAATACGTAGTTGGAAGAAAGGCATCAGTGATGAATATTTATACTTTTGGTGTTTGTGTCATATCTGATGGCAGCTTAGAGGTTTGGGTTAGTGACAGCAAATCTCAAATATACAGTTAAATGTTGAGAGCAAAAGCTGTTTTCCCTTGCAGCTTGTAGTTTTCGAACTGGTGAAACTTGTGAGTTGACTGGTCCTCATAAACTAGATTTAGATGGCCAAGGACTGTACTCAGTATTTTTGTTGCTTTTTGTATTCTATGTTAAAAAGCTAACGAGGTGAAAAGTTCAGCAGGTGCACATGAACAGCTTACAATTTTATTATTTCTCAACTTCAATGTCGCAAGTACTTAGACTATTAAATATAATATGGGAATAGTCGTGTGACATTTCCTTAGAAACTTGCTCGAAGTAGGGAGGGAATTTTGTGAGCTGTGATTTGATTTTCTGTTGGAATTTAGCTGTAGCACTTTTTTCTGATGTAACTGAAATATCTTTGTAGGGATACTTCCAAATACTCCACTCGTGCATCGAGAAATTGCTTGCATTTCTAAACATTAAAAGCTTAGTTCTACCAGCGACTGATGAGGCAAAATCAATTTGGACAGAGAAGTTTGGATTTAAAAAGATACCACAGGAGCAGGTATTAGCTGCTATAAACCAGAAAATTTCAACTGAACATATTTTGACATGCCATTGAGAGAACTCTAATCATTCCTTTGTGCTTTTGCAGCTTTTGAATTACAGAAAAATATGTTGGCAAATGATGACTTTCAAGGGAACATCTATGTTAGAAAAAGCAGTTCCAAAATGTCGAATTATTAATAACGATGAAGAAGAAGAAGAAGAAGAAGAAGAAGGTGCTTTTCCAAACTGATTCGTATTTATTATTCTTTTACGATATTTCTAGAAGCTTCGAGACTGAATTAGAAGGTGCAAACTGGAATAGGAAAACACCTGCCGAGAAATGGTTGAATTGTGAGAGAAGTTGTCATCGGTAGTTAATTATTGAAGATTTCAAGTTAAGGTCTCATTTTTCTTCCCTAAGATATTTGCTGCCGCATGTAAATAACTTTCGGAAGGCGCTACTTTCCTCCAGCACACATTCGTTTATGTTTTATCTATTTGTGGGCAAACTAACTTCATCTGGTGTTGTATAATTGTATCTTGTATAGACATAATGGATGTGAATATAACGATGGTCGATGTTATATGTGATGATCTCTGTATGATTTCCCCATATTTTATTTTACCTTGATCAACCGTCTCCATGCGGAAGACGGTTCCAGTTGTGACGGATCTTTCGATGCTCCCGTTTTGAAATAGTGATAGTCCGAAATTGAGCGTCACTAGAGGTTGTGAGATAGGAATTGCAAACGACTTCTTCATGTTTAATATACTCCTCAAGCATGAACGAGCCGCTGGCTCCTCCTATCCCAAAGGTTCCAGCAAACGCTCGCATCAAGAAGGAAGGAATCTCTTGCAAGAGTTGTCTTCAACTCATCGTACCAACTCCAGAAACTCATCCTCTCATAAAACAACCAGATAGCAAACGGTAAGTTCTCCTACAGCACTTGCGTG